GTGCTCTCTAGGCGGGCCTTCACCTCTGAGCCCACCTGCATCACCAATTCACGTGCAAAGTCCCTGAATCCCAACCGTATAGACCGCAGGGCTATGTCGTGACTCCTAACAAATTGATACTGCTCTTCCTGGACCTGGGCCAGGCGCTCTATGTTCCTTGCCATGACCTGCACCTTGCCCAATAGCTCCGCCTGCGCCTCCATTTGCGCTCTCTGTTGCTTTATTTCTTCCAATTCTCTGGCCGCCTGACTCACTGCGTCCACTCTTCTTTTCCTTTCCCTCATCAGCCGCAACTTCCACTCCATCCTCTTCTCATCTTCGATTGTCTGCCGCTTGAGTGGATCTTCCTCTGCTTCCCACTCTTCATGGCCGCCTCCCGCTCTTCCCTGGGTACATACATTAATGCCTCCTCCTCTTCTCCCAGGGATAAATTGGCCACCCATTCCGTGATCTTCTTCTCCAACAGATCCTCCTTCACACCACTAGATTCGCCTCTTTGCCCGATTTTTCTCCTCTCCAGCGGCTGCTCCTCTACTTCTTCTTCTGCCTCTACCGCTCAGAGTTTTTCTTCCTCCTCCTTTTTCAACCTCTCCATTTCTCTCGCCATCTCTTCCTCAATCTTCTTCTTCTTCGCCGCCTGTTCTTCCAGCAACGCCTTCTTCTTGGCCTCCTTCTTCTCTCTTCTCTCTTTCAGGATGGCGGCGGCTTTCGCCTCCTGTTCTGCTGTGTAAGGGGAGGTGCTCGTTCCTGTACGCGTGTCAACCATGGTGATAGACGCACAACCAAGTGACGGTTCCACTCCTCACCACTTAGATTCTCCCCCTAAATGACCAACTTAAGACCGACTCGATCTAAGGACCACAGGATTCGTACAGAACCCTGCCAACTATGGTCTCTAGCCTGGACTCTAAACTACAACCGTCACTACAAAACCTATTGCTGATCAGGAGGCATTTAAGGAGATCCCCCGTAACTCCTCAGGAATTCTTTAACGTCGCAGACAGGACGACGCGATCAGCAGGTTCTCAAGACTTAGACGGCCCGTTGTGCAGCCCACAGCTCGGATTTTGGGCCTACCATGCCACACCGAGCAGCCCGCTGGTCAGTACCGGTCCTTGGGAGGGTTCGCGTCCTCCGGGACAGTCGAGTCGTCAGACACAGCCTTTAGCCCTACTCAGCCCGTGTGGGTTTGGTCAACGAGGCCCTATCCTTCATACACACAGTCCTATCACCTAGACATAAGAGACTCAATGCAGAAAGAAGAGATAGACAAACTCAGACTCAGCAAGTACCATAGGGTGAGTGCACATCCATAGTGCGAGGGGATAGGCCAAGGGCTTGGCGAGATTATACCAACTCCAGCTTGGTCAAAATCGTGGTCAACAGCTCCAGTCAACGCCTTGGTCAACACTTGGTCAACATGGTCAAACCTTGGTCAATGCTCCGGTCAACCCTCTGGTCAACACCCAATCAACTCTTGCTCAACACCGAAGTCAACCCTCAAGTCGGCTATGGCTGCCGGCACTTTCTTCCTCGCCAACTTCCCTTCTCTTCACCTTCTTCACCTTTCTTCTTTCTCGCCCCTTTCTTCTTCCTTTCTTTTTCTTTTTCTTTTTTTTTTCACCCTCGGCTTTGTCTGTCTTCAACTTCGTTGTCCCTTCTTCCTTCTTCCCCGGCTATGTCTCCTCCTTCCTTCTTCGTCAC